TTTGGGTGCTACATATAAAGTTTTTATTAAGGAGGGTAAGGATTTTTTATTTTTAAATTTTTTTGTTTTACATTTTTTTTCTTTTTTTTTTTTGGAGAGGTTTTTGCTATAGGGTACATGCACTTGCCAGAAAGACAGAGAGACAGAGACAGAAAGTGAGAAATCACCCCCCAGGGGGGATGGCCACACCACTATCCCTTCTCCTCCATTCTCCTCTCAGGATCTTGGGCACGCACGCAAACGCACCCTGTGTGAGTTTAAGCCACCAGGTCTGGGACTTGAACTGCAGTCGACTACATGGGAGTCCAGTGACATAGCCATTATGCCAACTGATGATCCTATTACTTTTTTTTTTTTTAGTTTGCCAAAGTCTATATGCACTCACCAGAGAGAGACAGAGAGAGAGGGAAGAAGCACCCCTCAATTGTGCATGTTCACCCCACAGTCCCTTCTCTTCCATTTCTCCAGACTATTGGGATTTGGTGCACACTCACATGTGTGTGCATGCACACGTGTGCCTGATGTGTTTTTCAAGCTGCCAGGGCCAGGATTTAAACCGTGGTTGGCCAGGTGGGCTTTGACTCTGGAGGATGAGGATTGACCTTTCACAGACCACGCCTTGCCCCCTACCATTCTCATGGACTCCCAGTCATCTCAGTGGGTTATAATTCCCTTCCTGACGGTTCTCCGTGAGCCTCGGAATCACTGAAGTCCTGGTTTCTGTTCGCCCAGAGTCCTATGTACTTGTTACTAACTTAGACACAAACTCCTCCCTTTCCCCAGAGGGGGACACAGCTCCTCTCAGTACGTTCAAACATAATGGGGTTCCATAGACTTCATCATCTTGAAGAAGTCCTCCCCAGGGCCGTTGACCCGATCTGGACTGTGCCGTCTGCTCTTCAGGCTTGTCACATAGGGGACTCTGGGGTTCTCACTTGGTCACCATCCTGGGGCTTCCTGTCTGCACACACGGTGAAGGGTGGGGCCTGGAAGCTCCCGGTGCACACGTGGCCTTGTCAGCTGGGGACTTCTCTGTAGGGTGATCTGGCTGGGCCAGTTCATTGGGAAACGTCTGATGTCAGTACCTAGAGAGCTTTCTAGGCGTGGCCATATATCCTGGAGAAGGTTCTTCCAATTTTCTGCCTCGAGGGATTAAGTCTGATTACCAGAGTTCTGGTTGCTGGGTGGGGAAGAGGGATACTGCCCTTTATGGTGTGGGTGGCCCCACTGCAAACCCTGCTTCCTATTAGTAAGACACCTCGATTATGCCCGAACGGACATCTTTCAGTGCAGAAAACCTGTTTGTTTATTTGTTTGTTTGTTTATTTCAATTTATTTATTTGCATTCATTCACTATACATCATTACAGCATACAAAATGAGATTTTCCATCCAGAGTACACTGAATATTGTCTCAATCAAGCACATCAACAAACATGTTCTTGTCAGCAAATGATCTTCCATTTCTTGTTTTCTGTACGTTTTGCTTTCCCTCCCCCATCCTTGATTCCCTATCTCTTACCCTCTGCTATCTCCCACTCTCCTCCCACACTGTCTCTGGTATCTATGTTTGCTTTCTGAAAACCTGTTTTTTTTTAAATTATTTTCTTTTACTTTATTCATTCATTCATTCATTCATTCATTCATTCATTTCAATTTGACCAGAGAGGGACAGTGTGAGAGAGGGACAGAGAGAAAGTGAGAAAGCAAGCCACCAGGTACGGGACTTGAACCAGGTCAGCCATGTGGGAGTCCAGCGCCTTTAACCACCACGCCACCTGCTGGTCCCCAGAAAACCTGTTTTCTCCTCTCTTAGTGGAAGCCTCTAATGTCTTCTGCTGGGGTGGAAGAGGGAGAAGTCAGTCACTAAAGGACAGTGAGGAGGCATGGGGGGATCTAAGTGCGTCTAAATCAGTAATCAGTTCTCCTGTTTTTAGGTCCCTCTTTGTTGTACCTGGTGCCTCCAACCCCGAGCCTTTGTAGGGAGGGGGGTTCTGTGGTATAAATGAGCTGCTTCTTAGTTTTTTCCATAGTCAACAGGATTCCGCTTTCTTAGACCTCCGCTGTCTTAACCCAGCACTGATTTCCAGCCCCCGGAATCGTGTCGCTATGTGTCCTCCAGGTCCCCTTTGCTCTTACTCATACGTGCCTATTTGCAAGTTCCTCTGTTAGCATTTCACTGAATTCTAGGGGGGAAATAGGACTTTCTGTCATCTCTTTGTCATTATTGTTTTACATTTTACATACAAAAATACATTTGATTCTCTCAAACTTAAGTCCCCAAATCCTCAGGAAATGACACCTTAATCTAGTTTGAGTCAGGTGTCCTTCCTAATTGACAGTTCATGTTGTCAAGAGGAGTAGAACATCACGATTGCTCTGGGAGTAGACTTCTGCCCCGCCAGGCCCCGTAATGTGGCAGGGGAGTGGAATCATGTTTTTACAAACACGGTAACTCTCACGGTCACACAAGGGCAGTCCTAGACAAAAGCCGGACAGACAACTCCTTAGAATCCACTACAGTCTGAAAATAGCATAGGAGATGGAGATCTCAGGGCTCTGGTTCTAAATCCAGGGCTCTGAGTCTTCTCCCCATCCTGCTGGTCAGTCACAAGGTCAAAAACAGGGGAGAGGGAATGGGTCCAGCTCCATGGCCTAGTGGCTGGGAGCTGGATCCCGCATGACCGGCTGCGGTTCGAATTTTGCACCTGGTGGCTTAAAAAACACGCAGAGTGCATTTGTGCATGTTTGAGTGCCCTGAATCCCAACGGGATGGAGAAATGGAGGAGAAGGGATTACGGTATGACCATGCCCCTTTGGGGGGTGCTTTCCCCCTCTTATCTCTCTTTCTCCAGCAAGTACACACACCCTCTGGAAATTTAAAAACCAAACCAAACAAAACCTTTTTAAAGAAAAGGAGGATGGAGGGGGTGGAGGAGAAAGGGCCCCTCAGCTCCTACAGTAGCTTCTAGAAGTTCACGGGAAACTTCTGATTCTCATTGCTACTGGACGGGATCAGGGCGAAGACATGACTTGCTTCTCTGTGACGGTGTGTATAATCCTGTTTGGAAATAACACCAAGAGTCTAAATTTGAGGCCTGTTATGAAAGTGAGACCAGGCCCAACAGCCTTTCTGCCTGGTACCCTTAACCCCCTCCATGATAGGGCCAGGATGGAAGCCATCTGGGACCTGACAGAGAACATGGGAATTTGTTTTGGCTACCTGTGTGGGCAAAGATGTCCCCAGATGTGTAATCCTCTGTCTTCTGCTCTTTTCTCTCTACACAGATTCAGCAATTATATCTAAACCTTCCACCCAACCCGACCTCTCTGGTGACCTTCAGTCCCATTCGTCGACCCGCCTGAGGTTACCATGTTTGGAAGACAGAATTCCACTCTTCCTGGTACGTTATGGGGCCTGGCGGGGCAGAAGTCTACTCCCAGAGCAATTGCAATGCTCTACACCTCTTGAGGCTGTCCGTTCTGTTTTCTCGCTGACGTTGGCCCAAAGCTCAGTGGCCCACATTGACCTAAGCAGTCTGCCATCTCGAGGCTTGAGACCTTGGCGCAGTTTCCACTCGCACCACTCCCTTGGCACAGGACTCACTTAGTCACCACGGCACAGTCCCTGGCCGCCGCTGATGGCTTTCACACTCATCCCGTCATACCTGGCCATGAGGTGGCTGTGGGCGTAAACCCCACACATGGGTCAGGCAGCATGGAACCCCACACAGGATTTCCAGCTCATTCCGGGCCCACTGGACCAGAATCTGCATTTTATCTATCTATCTATCTATTTAACTATCTATTTATTTATTGGCAATGAATCCAATTTCCCAACAAGGGGAATTTTATTGATTACTTTATTCCCTCACAAAAAGACCAACTATAATCAAGTGAGGCAAAGCTTTCACCTCGAGATTTTATTGTCTTCCCAGTCAAACAAAAGATAAAGCTTAGAACTGGGTCACTTGATCCTTTCTCTTCTTATCTCCTCCCATTCAAAATGCTTCGCATCTCTGGATAGTCGGCATCCTCTTAGATCTGCAGTTGGGCTCAACATATTCAAGCCTCAGCAACATCTTCTCGTTAGTTTTTGCCTTTTTCTGGAAAATAAGCTTAGTCTGTCCACCACCGCCACTCTATTTCCTGTCATAATGCCGCTGTCTCTGAGAACACAGAGAATCTTTGCCCTTTTTCTACTGTGTCACTTCATGGGGCTGCTGCCTGCCACACTTCTTACAGAAGGTCCATCGCAGGACCAGCAGTTAGCGTAATGGCTATGTCGCTGGACTCCCACGTAGTCGACCACGGTTCGAGTTCCGGACCCAGTGGCTTAAACTCACGCCGGGCGCGTGTGCGTGCATGCCCAAGATCCCAAGAGGAGAATGGAGGAGAAGGGATTGCGGCGTGGCCATCCCCCCTGGGGGGTGATTTCTCACTTTCTGTCTCTCTGTCTGTTTGAGTGCCCTGAATCCCAACGGGATGGAGAAATGGAGGAGAAGGGATTACGGTATGACCATGCCCCTTTGGGGGGTGCTTTCCCCCTCTTATCTCTCTTTCTCCAGCAAGTACACACACCCTCTGGAAATTTAAAAACCAAACCAAACAAAACCTTTTTAAAGAAAAGGAGGATGGAGGGGGTGGAGGAGAAAGGGCCCCTCAGCTCCTACAGTAGCTTCTAGAAGTTCACGGGAAACTTCTGATTCTCATTGCTACTGGACGGGATCAGGGCGAAGACATGACTTGCTTCTCTGTGACGGTGTGTATAATCCTGTTTGGAAATAACACCAAGAGTCTAAATTTGAGGCCTGTTATGAAAGTGAGACCAGGCCCAACAGCCTTTCTGCCTGGTACCCTTAACCCCCTCCATGATAGGGCCAGGATGGAAGCCATCTGGGACCTGACAGAGAACATGGGAATTTGTTTTGGCTACCTGTGTGGGCAAAGATGTCCCCAGATGTGTAATCCTCTGTCTTCTGCTCTTTTCTCTCTACACAGATTCAGCAATTATATCTAAACCTTCCACCCAACCCGACCTCTCTGGTGACCTTCAGTCCCATTCGTCGACCCGCCTGAGGTTACCATGTTTGGAAGACAGAATTCCACTCTTCCTGGTACGTTATGGGGCCTGGCGGGGCAGAAGTCTACTCCCAGAGCAATTGCAATGCTCTACACCTCTTGAGGCTGTCCGTTCTGTTTTCTCGCTGACGTTGGCCCAAAGCTCAGTGGCCCACATTGACCTAAGCAGTCTGCCATCTCGAGGCTTGAGACCTTGGCGCAGTTTCCACTCGCACCACTCCCTTGGCACAGGACTCACTTAGTCACCACGGCACAGTCCCTGGCCGCCGCTGATGGCTTTCACACTCATCCCGTCATACCTGGCCATGAGGTGGCTGTGGGCGTAAACCCCACACATGGGTCAGGCAGCATGGAACCCCACACAGGATTTCCAGCTCATTCCGGGCCCACTGGACCAGAATCTGCATTTTATCTATCTATCTATCTATTTAACTATCTATTTATTTATTGGCAATGAATCCAATTTCCCAACAAGGGGAATTTTATTGACTACTTTATTCCCTCACAAAAAGACCAACTATAATCAAGTGAGGCAAAGCTTTCACCTCGAGATTTTATTGTCTTCCCAGTCAAACAAAAGATAAAGCTTAGAACTGGGTCACTTGATCCTTTCTCTTCTTATCTCCTCCCATTCAAAATGCTTCGCATCTCTGGATAGTCGGCATCCTCTTAGATCTGCAGTTGGGCTCAACATATTCAAGCCTCAGCAACATCTTCTCGTTAGTTTTTGCCTTTTTCTGGAAAATAAGCTTAGTCTGTCCACCACCGCCACTCTATTTCCTGTCATAATGCCGCTGTCTCTGAGAACACAGAGAATCTTTGCCCTTTTTCTACTGTGTCACTTCATGGGGCTGCTGCCTGCCACACTTCTTACAGAAGGTCCATCGCAGGACCAGCAGTTAGCGTAATGGCTATGTCGCTGGACTCCCACGTAGTCGACCACGGTTCGAGTTCCGGACCCAGTGGCTTAAACTCACGCCGGGCGCGTGTGCGTGCATGCCCAAGATCCCAAGAGGAGAATGGAGGAGAAGGGATTGCGGCGTGGCCATCCCCCCTGGGGGGTGATTTCTCACTTTCTGTCTCTCTGTCTCTTTCTGTCTGTCTGTCTGGCGAGCGCACGCGCCCTATAGCAAACCGTCAGGTTTTAGGGACGTTCACCATGTTTGCAGGCCTGCTATCTGAACAGGAAGAGAGGCCAGCCGGAAGCCCAGAATCTGCATTTAAACCCTAGGTGATCCACTGGCACTTTGCTGGTCTAGGAGGTTACAGGAGTCTGTACTAGACACCGACCTTACATGGCTACGTCTGCCCTGATCCGCAATGTCTGACGCAAGGTGACCTACAGCTCAGAGTCAAGCTCAGCCGTCATAGCTGGGGACAAGGTGGTGAGAGAATGGTGGCATGGGGAATGTCCCTTGACTTGACTTCATGGGGGTGCACTGTGAACCCACCAGTGTGACAGTGCAGGTAGGGAGCAAGATGTGGGACGCCATCAGCGAAGGTCACAGCCCTGAGCGCGGAGGGCATGAGGTGGCGTGGCAGGGACAATGAGTGTTGGGGAAGACAAGGCATGGGGTGGAGGGCCTTCCTGAATGGAGGTAGAAGGAAGCTGGTGGGCAGTGGGAAGTCTGCAGGGGAGTCCTGTGCGCTTTCCTCCACTCTGTTTCCCTCACCAGTGTGGACGATCTCCCTTAGGATGCCACAGCCTGTGTACCTGCTCCTGGCCAGTTCTCAGCTCCCAGAATTGAGCCTGGCCGGCCCCTCTCTCCTTTCTGAGAGAGTCACCACTTTTCACCTGGTCACGCAGCAGCTCTCCTGGTGCGTGGTCTCTATTCCGCTCTTTCTTGTTATCGCCACACTCTATTGTTTCTGCCAGCTCATTTTCTGTGCTGAGCTTACTCTGACAACCTTTATCATCCCTCGGTAGCCTCCCTGTGTCCAGGTTCTCCCCCCATGTGTGCAGGCTTCCTTCCTTGAGACCAAATTCCTCAACCTCAGTGGTGGTTCTCAGCTCTCCACACCTCTGCCCACCTCATCTTACCTCTCACTTTTCCCAGCAGTTCTGAGACAGCCACTGCCCGCCCTACCCACCTCCACTCCTGTCCTCAGATTCTCCTTGTCCATCCTGCTTGTCTGTCCTCCCTCTGCCTCTCTCTTCTAGTCAAAGCCTGCGTATCTGTTTATGCCCGTTACACACTTTTGCTTCTCTTGTGCTGGAACTGGAACAAGGATTTGTGACTAATGGTCAAGATTATAATGATGATCTTGGTCTGCCCCCATAGCCTAGTGGCTAAGGCAGGCAGATTCCACATGGTTGATCCAGGTTCAAATCCCAGCCCCTGTGGCTTGAAAAACACACCTGACCCATGTGCATGGGTGCCCCAAATCCCAACAGGATCGAGAAGTGCGAGAGAAGGGATTGTGGCATCACCACACTCCTTTGGGGATGTTTTTGCTCTCTCCCCCTTCTCTGTCCCTCGGCTTCTTTCTGGTGAGCACACTCACCCTCTGAGAATGAAAAAAAAAAAAAATTACAATGATGATCTCTATTATACATAAATTTCATAGAAAAGACTGGAATATAGTCACGACAGTGATCTCTGGATTCCGGGTAATTGGTGATATTTCCCTTCCTGCTTTTTAGACCGAGCATGTATTACTTGACGAGTACACAGAGGAAATCAACTTTCCTATGCTAAAGAACGATGGGAGCGGAGGTGCGCACAGGTGCTGCTGGGTGGATCCAGGTGGAGAATGATTGACTACTGGTTGGCCCTAGAGACTGGGGGGAGGGAACTTCCGTGGTTATACACCATCCGTAACCCAGACCTGGGCCTGAATCCAAGCTTTGCCCACCACTCTGTGACCTCAGGAAAATCACTTAACCCTCTGGGTTTCTACCTTTACTAGTTGCGTGGCCGTGGGAAACTCTTGGCCTCTTTTGGCCCTATTCACTCAACAGCCTGAATAACTACCAACTTACATGTCGGCACTGCTCCACATGCTCGACTCACAAGTGAGTCTACTTCAACTTCTCAGTGCTTACGAGGTTTTATATTCTAGAGTGGATGTAAACAACCAAGAAGTACGTGATATTTTATTCCTGCACACACTCACACACGCACACACCTGGCATGCTGGTGATAAGTGCTATGAGAAAAAAATGCAAAAAGGAGGGGCCTGGATTGGGAATGTGGAGGAACTGCTGTCCTAATTAAGGTGGTCCAGGGAAGCTCCGCTGAAGAGGTGACATTTGAGCAGAGCCAGCTTTCTGAGTGCCTGGGGAGAGAATTCTGGGCCAAGAAGACAGCAGGGCAAAGCCTCAAGGCCAGCAGCAAGAAGGCCAGTGTGGCAGGAGCCAAGGGAAGGAGATGAAGCCAAGGGGAGGAGATGAAGCCAAGGGGGTGGTGGCAGGCCAGATCTCCTGAGGCCTGGTGGGTGTGGTCAGGAGTAGTGGCAGCAGGACAGTGTGGCTGCATTCTGAAGGTAGCACCAAGATCAGCTCCTCTATTGGAGGTGGGTTGTGGACAAAGGAAACAACAAGTCAGAGTCCTTGGTCTGGTTTTGGCCTGAGCCCAAACTGGAAGGATGGAGGTGTCGTTTACTGTGCAGGTTCTGGGGGGAGATCTTCAAGCTATGAACCTGGATGAGGTCATCTGGGGTATGAGAGAGGACAGAGAAGAGGATGGAGTCCTGGGGCCCTCCAATTTTTTTTGGGAAATTTTTTGCTATGGGGCGTGTGCACTTGCCAGAGAGACAGAGAGAGACAGAGAGACAGAAAGCGAAACATTCTCCCCGGGGTGGGGGGGGAATGGCCATGCTGCAATCTCTTCTCCATTCTCTTCTTGGGATTTTGGGCACGTGCACACAAGAGCCCCACTTGAGTTTTAAGCCATCGGGTCCGGGACTCGAACTACAGTCAACTACGTAGAAGTCCAGTGATGTAACCATTACGCCATCTGGTGGTCCTGACCTTCCAATGTTTTGAGGTCAGGAAAATGAAGAAAAACCAGAAAAATATACGGAGAAGGAGGAGCCAGTGACATAGAAGGGAAGCGAAGAAGGAATGGCGCCTCAGGGACCAAGCGAGGATGAGGTCAATAAACATGAATCCTGATGGTGCTGGTGTAATTGCTGTTTACTTCTTTAATTTTTAATTTGCCAGAGGGCACATGTGGTCACCTGAGAAAGACAGAGTGAAAAAAAAAGAGGGAGAGCAAGAAAGCACCCCACAAAAAAAAAAAAAAAGAAAGCACCCCACCACCACCATGGGGCATGGTCGGGCCTCAATCCTCTCTCTTCCATGTTTCCATCCTTCTGGGATTTGGGGCATGCACACACATATGCCAGACGTATTTCTCAAGCTGCCAGGTCTGGGACACAAAGTGCACAGCCAGCCATGTGGGATCCAGCCACCTTGACCACCAGGCCATGGGCTGACCCATCTCATGTGCCTGTTACTCTCTCACTAGATGGTACCTCGTTACTTTCATAAAGCACGGTAAGGAGAATTGTATTTAGGACCATGGCTGCGGGTACGTGTGCCACCATGGCAGAGTCTGACAGTGGGGAAGAGACTGGGCTCAACTCTGAGTGAACACAGCACAAACAAGAGAGACTCCATAGCCAAGGAGCGAGGTGGCGTGCTAAGGTCAATGGAGGGAAAATGACTAAGAGGACACGTCGGGGGCAAGGAGGATTTGGGCGAAACCAACTGGGGTAACAGGATTCTTGCTAAAAGCAGCTCTAGGATTATGGGTAGACTGAATCCAGGCTGTAGGCGGGTGATTCTGCTAGCACTTTGTCAACAGTTACACTGGAGTAGTGGTGACATTGTGGCTATATTTTAAAAAGGTGGGGCCCGCCTATGGTATGGTAGTTAAAGCAGCTGGATACCACGTGGCCAGGAGCACAGTTCGAGTCCCAAACCTGGAGACTTGAAAAACACATCAGGCATATGTGCATGCATGCCCCAAATCCCAAGGAGACTGAAGGAGAAGGGACTGCGGTATGGCCTCCCGCCTCGGGGGGATGC